TTTAGCATGAGCCAGTGGTGAACAGATTTATCTGGAATCTTCCATTCCCAAATTGCCAATAGGTGTACATTCTCTATAGTAATGCGTTTTGGGGCTGTTTTGGCACCCGTGTTTCTTCTTTGGTCTCCTTGGCATGGTCTAAAGAGGTTTAGCATGAGCCAGTGGTGAACAGATTTATCTGGAATCTTCCATTCCCAAATTGCCAATAGGTGTACATTCTCTATAGTAATGCGTTTTGGGGCTGTTTTGGCACCCGTGTTTCTTCTTTGGTCTCCTTGGCATGGTCTAAAGAGGTTTAGCATGAGCCAGTGGTGAACAGATTTATCTGGAATCTTCCATTCCCAAATTGCCAATAGGTGTACATTCTCTATAGTAATGCGTTTTGGGGCTGTTTTGGCACCCGTGTTTCTTCTTTGGTCTCCTAATGGCACCTGTTTGACCTTGTTATCAGTATAAAAGACACCTGTCCACAACCTCAAACAGTCACACTCCAAACTCCACTATGGCCAAGACCAAAGAGCTGTTGAAGGACACCAGAAACAAAATTGTAGACCTGCACCGGTATACCTATGATGAAAATTACAGGCCTCTCTCATCTTTTTAAGTGGGAGAACCTGCACAATTGGTGGCTGACTAAATACTTTTTTGCCCCACTGTATAGCACCTAAGGCCAGTGCAGAATACTCTGAGCACTTCTCTGTTTCCTTGGGAAAAACGTGCACCGCTGATACATTGTGCTGTTAATATTTGGGTGTCTGATCATGCTTAGAAATCAGAGTTCCTAGTAGATGATGCTCTTGAGAACAATGAGTAATGGTTTATGTCACAGGACAAGGGTTTCTCACTTTACCTTTAGTTTCAGCACCTGATGGGACACACATTTACAAGCTAATCATTGATAATTTAAAAAAAAAACCTAAATAGTATACAAACAAAACTTTACAAATAAAAAAAGGTAATAAGGTACAACAAAAATAATGCAGGAACAAACATTAGAAAATGTGCATTGGTTGGCAATATTTATCATTACATGTATAATGTTTAGAGGTATAAAATTTGTACAACTCAAGGGCAGCACAGAGCTTCTGTTGTTGATCGCCATGGTCTGTGGAAGATTGCCACCTGGAATTTCAAAGGAGTATATGACAAAGAATATGAATCAAAAGCGAAATAAATGAAAGAAAAATAGATGCGCGTGTGTGTGTGTGTGTTTTAGAGTATAAGAAAGGGAAAGGGTGTAGTAGAGCTAACTGAAGGTGGTTTTATCTTAAGCTGAAGTGATGAATACATGCTTGGAAGTGAAAAGGCAAGGCTAAAATATATGCCATAAAGTATAAATTAGTACCTTCTACACTGTTGTAGAAGCAGTATAGATTCATACATTTGAGATAGCTGCATGTGTCACATTCCAATAAACATGGGATTTGCACAATGTTCTGATTGAATGTGATCTGGAGAAAAAGGTAATCAGCTTAGGTGATATGGATGGATGTCAAGACAAAGTAGAGGAAAAAGTGATTGGGCCATCTGGAGATCCAAAAACGAATGAGAGTGGTGATATAGCTGCTTAGAAAAAGGAACGAATCTAAAGGAATGATTGATATGATGGTTTATGACGAAAGATTGAGATATCTAGTGAAGAATACAAGGGTGAAGAAACAATCTAAATGTGGGACAGAACATTATTTGGTAGTCAAGAGTGAATCTTTAGAAAATGTGAAAATTGGAGAAAAGTAAAGAAGTGCAAGAAATGAAAAAGTAGCAGAACCACAGGAAGAGAAATTACAAGTCTTATATGAAAATGTATAAGGTAAATAATAGATAACGTAATCAAAAACTGGTAAGAACCATTAAGTTTAGAAGAGTCAGAGAAAATGCAGAGTGATTTTGTTAGCCCTCTTCACTCACTTCCAAACAAAGTCTTCAGAAGAATAAATGGAATTAAAAATAAAAATTATTAAATGGTTTGTGATAAAACTGAAGCAAACAAATGCTGGTGATGACTTTTGAGATGAGTTGATTTGGAATGTAAATGTGTGTGTACTTTTATATGCAGACTTGTTGGTGTGGAATCACTGGAACCAGTGATTTTCAGGCAATCTTTAGATAAAGAGTATGATGCAACAAGGGGCATAGATCTCAACATTAATGTATTGAAGAGCTATTTGACCTGGAATGAGTATTCATCCTCACTATGCTGAATACCCTGGAATTAATTTAGAAGTTGCAGAGCCAATGTGGGCACAGAGCCAACGTTTTAGATTACAGCATTTTATTGCGAATGGTTCAGCATTAAGCAGGAAGTAAGACAAGAATGCATGTTGTTTGGCTCTTCAGTGTTTGTATGGATGAATGTATAAGGAATGCATGTAGTGACATAAAGAGGAGTATGCATCTAAAAATTAATATATCGAAAACCATGGTAGTTGTGTCTGGGAGAAGAATGAGGTGAACCAATACATGCTATACATAAATAACAAAGAGTGAGTAAATGAACTTGTGTTCCTTGATACTCGTAATAAAGTAAATGAAGGTGAAAAAATGAATGGAGAAATTTGAAGCTGTGCAAATGCTGCTAGAAAAGGAGAAGGTACTATGAGTTGTTAACAGTAAATTAGTTTGTTGAAATAAATGAAAATGTCTGTGTATAGGTAGTCCTTGTTTAACAACCACTCATTCAACAGCCATTTGAAGTTTCAGTGGCACTGAACAGGGAGACTTATGACGGGTCCTCGTAGTAGTGGCCATTGTATCACCCCTGTGGTCATGTGATTGTGATTTGAGTGCTTGGCAACTGGCTCATAATTATGACAGTCACAGTGTCCTGCGGACAAATGATCGCTATTTCTGACCTTCACTGCTGGCTTCTGACAAGCAGAGTCAATGGGGAAGCTGGCAGGAGGTCACAAATGGCGATCACGTGATGTGCCTAACAACCATATAGATTTCATTTAATGACAACAACCAGAACTGCCACAGCTACCGCCATAAGTCGACACAGTCGTGTGACTTTGTGGTTTACAACCATGTCGCTAGTGACAGATTTGCTGGTCCCAATTACCGTTGTTAAGTGAGGACTACCTGCACAAAATAATGCTTCTGCCCATTTGTTGTATGGAAATGAGAGTTACATATACCAGGTGAAACATAAAAATAAGTGGAATGCAGTGGTTGGCAATATTTATCAGTACATGTATAATGTTTAGAGGTATAAAATTTGTACCTCTAAACATTATGCATGTACTGATAAATTTAAGAAGTTATTTAAGAAGTGTGTGGTAGAGCCAAGCATGTCTGGTAGAGTGATAAAGCCAAGAGTGCACAGGTGATGAATGAATGCACTTTCTGACTGCATGTATCTCTCGATTTTAACCCTCAGAATCCTATACAGTTTCTCAAAGCAATGTTGGTTTATTTATTACTTATTTATTACAAATATTTGTATACTTCTCAAGATGGTCTCATAGTATATAAACATTAAAATATCCATAGTCCAATTCAGCATTACAATCTTAAAATGATATCAATGGCTGTCCTTAATTAAGGATGCCTGAAAAATGTCTGGCTACTGTAATTACGCATTTTGGCATGCCAAGAGAGTTCTGCATAAGGATGTTTCAAGTTTGTAGTGATTTTTTAAAAAAAATCTGTCGAATCATGTCTGATTCTCAGAGACTGCCTGGGCAAGTCCCTGCAGTTTTGGCTGGTGTGGGTCTTCCGGGCTGTGACCGGCATCTTCAGAGTGCAGGAGCACAGACAGGAGCAGTTCTCTCTGTGCCCAGGGTGAAGTGACCCTTCTGTGGGTATTTATAGATAAGATGCCGGTCACAGCCCGGAAGAC